ATCTGAAGTAATAATCGTTACAGAGTTTGTTCCAGTATCTCGCCACCACTGAACTCCACACTCCACTCTCCACTCTCACACTGACACCCAATTAGTTGCACTACACTAAATCCGCCTCTCTGAAGCCAGTGCCAACCGCCAAGATGCAGGACAAGACCAGCGATATAGTCCTCAGTGCCGATGTAGGAAATCTGACGATGAAAGCTGCAGCTATGGCTGCAGCGCCACTGTCTCTGCCACACAGGTACCCTGACGAAGTAGCAGCAGCAGTAGTCCACCCACAAACCACTATGTAGAGCCTCCTGATAGCCCAGACAATCGCAGTCACCCTTCCGGGTGAGTGCTCAGAGAACACCCCAGCTATGGCGAGCTCCCTTTGTCTGGCTATGGCTGTCGTTACTGACGAGGGACTTAGGATGCCGTGCCTGAAGTCAATCGTCACCTTCCTTCCTCGCTCAACTCTGTAGTACCGACGAAGAAACGAATTCCCAAAAGTCTCTAACTGATTCCTACCATCTATTAATAGACTAAACTAGCCTTGACACAACCTAGACCGGAGTGACTAGACCGACCGGTACCGTTTCAGTTTCGGCCCCTAGGGCCTCTCCCTCCCGGCTATAGGCTATAGGACCGTCTATTGGCATAGGTCATTAGGGCCTGTCCGTCGTAGGGGTAGCCCGGGCCTGCTATTTGCAGTTAGGGTAGCTGTAGGAAAATCGAGCTCGTACGGGCCTATGTTTTCCCGAATTTACAGATATGTCCCTCACGCATTTTCCTTACAGGCAGGTATCTCGGTTAGCCCTCAGACAAACAAAATTGCAAAACTAACCTATCCCTGTACTGTACCCAGCAGTCAAATCAGCAAGTCATTGCATACATGCCCTCACATCATCAACCTCATCTCTCTCTATCTCTCTCACCCTTGTCTTCATCACCTACGTCTCCCTTCCCATACACAAAGACCACCACCACCCGCTGACTGTGTCCAAGGCCCAGCCTGGCTATGAAGGCTGGGCTGCTATGGCGCTGCCCTATGCTGCACGCCCGACCGCGGCCTCAGCCTCGGCCGACGGCCAAATCGGTGCAGGATTTTTTTTTTTTTTCTAACGCATGAAAAAATATATATATATATATGGGCGTGTAGGGCTAAAAAAACCCTACACGCCCATATTTTCTTAGGGGGCATTGTTGTTTTCTATTGCGGAACAAAAAATAAAAACAGAAAA